GATAATTACCAGGTCAAAGGGTAGAAATATTTTTATGGACCATTCCACACTGCACTCCAAAAAGGCTGCCCTGGTTTACAAAGCCAACAGCAATGCATAATTGCACTTGTTTCTCTACATTCTAACCAACATTGTTTTATTAATTACCCTTATTTTTGCTGGTTTAATACACACACAACTGGGACTAGTGCCAATTTACTGCACCAAGTGTACTGGTTCAATGGGACTTAAAGTCTTACCGAAAATTAACTAAGCTAGGAGGAAACTAATTTCAGTGGATATATTAAAAACAAAAACAAAACAAAACAAAAAAACACTAGATTGGAATTATAAGACTTCAAAACCTGCTTATGCTACCTCTCAATGTGACCTTGGAGAAGTCTCTGAATGCTAGAAGTCCTTTCTAGCATTTAAGTTTCACAATCTTTTATCATTTATCTTGAGCCAGTTATCCCTAAAAGGGACAGCCCTTGGGAGTTAATAATCAAATTTCTATATGTTTAAGACTACGTGGTGGGATTGCCATAGAGGGGCAATCAGGTAAGCCACCAATGGAAAATAAATGAAGGCAACTGAAACAACAGAGAACATGTTTCCTTTCCACTTTTTCACTAGATCCCCTTTCTAACTTCCACCTCCAGCTCCTGGTTTTGCCCTCTGGGGACCAGAACAAGTCCAGTCCATGTTCTTATTTTCTAATACAGCTACAAACAAACCCTAAAACTAAAGGATATTAATGTAGGCAGAACTCCATCTAATGTTGTGAATTATTTTCTTCAAAATATATTACATGAAACATCATTAGAGAGTTTCAAAAGAGCAACTTATAATGTAAGTCTAATGATGCTAACAGCTTTGCTATTTATGGCATTGTTTGGTTAAAGCATATTAACTACACAACTGAAATAATGCAGTCTAGGGTACTATGGTTTTTGAGGAATAGATCTGAGCTATAACAAGCAATTCTGATGCTTGGGGCAAATTTAGTCAGGTGACTACTCCTGGTCTAACATTCTGTTGGGTGTTCTTGATGTCTGTGCTCTCTCTCTCCCTAAGTGAACACAGCAGGGAAAACACAGCCCCGGCTCTGGAGAAGCCAAGGTCCAAAGGGCTCTATGAGGACTCCCTGAGTCAAGGAAAACACCTACCCCTCCACAAAACAACCTGGCTTCTGTCCATAAAGAAGGTGGAAACTCTAAAGTGAGTGAATAAAAAAATGTTTATTAAGCGCTTAATATGTGACAAGCACTGTTCCAAATACTGGAGAAAATTTATAGGGAAAAAAGTGGAAAAAGAGAGACAGTCTTAGCCTTCAAGGTGCTTATACTCTTATTGAGAGAGACAACACATAAAAGAAAGTTCAGCCGCAGGGCAGATGGAAATGCCTCCAAGTCTTAAGGGTAGAGCACTAGAGCAGATGGTAGGGCCCAGATATCCTTCGGTATAAGGAGGTCAGACAACAGGGCTGGGATACTGCAAGGGGGGACTTCAAGAGGCAGAAGGAAAGGCTGACTGGCATTCCATTTAACCAGACAGGACAGAATGAAGGGAAGTTAAGAGGGAATATCTGGCAAGCCATGCCAGATGGATTCTGAGACAGGCATGGGCAGAATGTGAAGGGGGAAAATTGAAGAGGGTATGGTGCCATAGAAATGCTAGGTTTATCCTTTCTTCCTTACGGTTAACTGCTCTAGACGGGGAAAAACTGTCTACTGCTTAGCCCTGGGCTGTCCAAGTGATATATTGCTCCTCTGCCCAATGCCTCACCCAGGCTGGGGAAATAGTACCTCCTCAATAGACCTTATCTCTGTCCACTTTTTACATTCAAGGAGTGACCCATAATAAATGAAATATAAAATAGGTTATTTGAAAAATTAAGTGAAGAAATTATGCCAAACTTTTCATTATGGATACAGAAAAGTAGGTCTATAGCTCTATGATACAATTTTAAATAAGTCTTTGAATGAATCTCTTAACATGAATGCATATTATCTACTGGCTCAGATTTTTCTGTTATTAACTCAAATTCAACCAACTTAAATTTAATAACATATCTGAAATTTACTAATTTATCTATCAAGAAGTTTTGTATACAAATATGCCTGTGAAATACATTTCTATGGTCTCAAAAAATCTTCTATAAATTAACTACAAGCAATTTTGAAAACTGCTTTCCCCATTACCACCTTCTGTTGCCAAGCTGGGGGCTGGGAACTATTTCCAACGCTACTCTAAGGAAAACATAATTAGGCAGTGAAACTACCATTTAAAAGCCCAACATAAAGCACTTAAAAGCCAAACATAAGTGACTTGATTATCCACTATTTTGTATTATTTCAGCTGGTGCTCCTCTCCATTAGGGAATATAACAGAGATAAATGACTTCCTGGAACCTCAACCTCTCAGAGCCCATCAGCAAATCTGGCAATTAAGTGAAAAAGGTCTCTAAGCAGCATTAGCCTCTCCCAATAACTACACTTGAAACTCCATCTCTTTTGCTCCATTGGTCAGTCTACTTTACATATAATTCTAATAAGTTTGGTCACCTAGTTTTACTCATAAGTTAGAAGCAGCAAATTATGAAGTGACAACCTTCAAAGTGATTGATGTAAAAGCACAAAACCCAAACAAAGAATCCCCAGTCTCACAAGAGAGGTCAATTAGCCTACCTAATCACACAGTTTGATTTCAGAACCAAACCTCAAATCGGATCATCTCTCAAAATATCGTGTCTTTCGCAGTATTTAGAAAAGTAAGGATGTATATATTGCATCTGAGAAAGAGGTGATTAAAAAGATGTTACAACCTTTAAGACTGGGCACTTTATGAGTCAGAAATCAGTTACTTGAAAAATTCAATTAACTTCATTCCCTGATGATACTGAATGAGTAATTTCTGTACCTAGGCTCTATGCTAATCCTAGATCTAGAAAACTATTTGTTCCAGAAAATGCAAAATAGTATATGACCTAACACAAACTAATAACATGGGGCACTGTAAGACTTTTAACATACTTTTCTCACTAAAATAACAGTAATAATAATAGCTAGAATTAATAAAGTGCTCTTTTTGCAAAAAGCTTTACGTGTATTTTCTCATTCAATGTTTACAGCAACTCAGAGAGATAGGTGCTGCTATTATCCCATTTAAACATGAGTAAACTCAGGAATATGGCAACTAAGTGACTTGCCTAGGATCACACTAATAAGTGTATGAAGGTTGGATTTGAACTCGGGTCTTTCTGACCCTAGGTTCAGCACCATATCATCTGTGCCATTCAATAACCCTGTGAGCTAAATTCAAGAATATCCCTCATTTTACAAATGAGTAAACAGATGTCCTCATTCTATTTACTAAGTTACGATTGAAACTAGTTTCAACTCTAGGTTCCCGGAAAAAGCATTGAAAACTCTACAAAAAAGTACTTTAGAAGAAGTTATCTTAATCCTCCTTCAAACAAGCAATCCTAAAATTTTAGGAGTGCTGTGCAAAAGACATATGAAGAGAATTGGTTTTGTACCTAAAGAAACTGCACTGAAATGAGACTGGGTGACTGATCCAAATTCTAAAGTGTGGACCAGTACCAGAGTCCAACAGTGGTATGTAGACAGACTTCCAATAAGGTGGCTGCAATAGCTGAACTGTAGTGTCCCTCTTCCTGTGATCATTGTCATGTGAGTGCCCAAAGGTAACAGTGACATGATCAGGGGTGTGTGTGTGTGTGTGTGTGTGTGTGTGTGTGTGTGTGTGATGGTGAGATGGACCTAAAATTAGTGACTTCAGCTCCTTATTACTTCTATTAATCTATTTTCCAAATAACTTTTCTTAAAAATCCATTTGTAACAGCCTCATACTGTATGTGTGTGTGTATATACATATATGTATATATATATATACACATATAGATATGATGGCCTAAAAATGAGCGAATGCAACTTCTTACTATTTCTTTTACTCTATTTTCCAAATTCTTTCCCTTGAAAATCCATCTCCAACAAATTCTAGATCCTATGATTTTTTTAGGAAAGATAAGCAACGATTAAATAATTAATCTACATATCTACATATACATAGTTATATGTATGGATATATACATAGTGTCCCAAAAATCTTAATGCAGTTTAAAAGCTGTGTTAGCTTAAAATCTCATTTTCTTGTATCACCCTGTGTATATACTTACATGAAAGGCTAATAATTGACTGCGGCTCCTTACTATTTTTTTTTTTTTACTACTGTACACATCACTTCCATTAAAAATCCATTTTTAACAGCCTCACACTCTATTATGTATACAGAGGTAGATATGACGGCCTAATAATTGGTGACTTCAGCTCCCTATTATTTCTTTAACTCTATTTTCCTAATTCCTTCTCTTAAAAATCCATCTGCAACAACTTCTGCATCCCTTTAGGAAAGATAGGAGACATTAAATACTGATGTCCCATGCATACATCCGTGTTTATGGATCCGTCTATACACCCACACATAAAGGGTGTCCTAAAACTCTTAGTGCACTTTAAAGTTTTAATAGTTTAAAACTGCATTGTCGTGTAACACCCCGTGTGTACACACATCTATGAAGAGCCTCTAATTAGTGACTGCAGCTCCTTTTTTTTTTTAAACTATTTACCCAATTACTTCCATTAAAAATTCATTTGTAACATCCTCCAAATTCTAGGATCCCCTTAGGAAAGAAAGGCAAGGATTCAACAGAAAAGCCCGGTCCTAGGACAAGGGTGTGTCAGGACTTGGGAATGCACGAGACGCTCTCCTGACACCTGGGCAAGGCCCCCCCCAATCTGCGAGTGAGGAGGGGGCTCCAGTGTAAGGCTCCCCACCCCCCCATCTAAGAGTGAGGGGGGCTCGAATGCAAGGCTCCCCGCCCCCCTCCTCCTCTCCCCAGGCCCCAGGCAGCACCTCGCAGCAGAGGAGAGCTCCGCGCCGCGCGAGGCCCCGGGCCGAAGAGGAGGAGTCGGTGTGCGCCCCTCCCCCCGGCTTACCCTCCACCGCCTCCCCGCTGCAGCCGTCCCGCTTCCTTGCGGAGGAGGCCGAAGCACTGGGTCCAGCAGCAGTTCCCCATGGCATGCCGCTCGGGGCGCCTCTGACCTCAAGGCCCAGCGGCCCCCCTGTCGCGCGCGCGCCCGGGACCCGGCCCCGGCAGCTGCAGCCGCATGAGCGCGAGGAGCCGCTACAGGCGGGGGGCGCGCGCGAGGGCGCGAGGCTCAGCGGGGAGCCGCGGAACAAAGGCGCTTAGTGCGGCGGCAGCCGGCGAGCAGCCGCCAGAGGAAGCCGAGCTTGGGCCGGGCCCCTCCGGCCTTCCTCCATCCGCCCAGCGCCCCCCTCGGCGCCCCCCTCAGCCCCTCGGCCGGCCACGTGGAGAGAGAGAGCCCCAGTGTTAGCTTCAGAGTCCGGCACGCAGACCCCGCCCTGCCCACATGTCTCCGGCCTCACTGCCTCCTTCCTCACTAAACCCGCCCCGCCCCCGCCGGGCCCGCCTCTCGCTCGGGAGCTGGCAACCCTCCGGGAGACCGAAGGCTCCTGCGTCACTTCCGCCTTCCCTTGTGCGGCCGCTGCGGGCTGAGCGGGCTTCGTCTTTTGAATCGGAATGTCTCGCCGCGCTTTCCGTAGGATTCCTTCCTTTCCCCCCCCACCCCCACTCACTAGCCCCGCTCCCTTACCTTCCTATGTGAAAGCGACAAATTCATTGCCAGAGTCTCGGTTTTCCAGCTTCTGACTTTGACCTGACTCTCTTGGCCCCGAGAGAAGAGAGATGGACTGGGGAAGAAGGAAAATGAAAATAGGTCTCATCTTGCATGTGCCCACTGGTGTTTGCACTCTTGTGATTATTGCATCCTAAGGGTTAAATAGGGTCCCAGGGAATATTTGCACCTCGAGGATTATAATAGGGGTGTTATTGGGGAATGTTGCATTTTGAGAGATAAGTAGGATCCCGGGGGAATTTGTCAGCTTGGAGGCACCAAGTGCTTGGAGGGATTTGGAGACATCTCACTGCTAGGTATATAGCTCAAGGAGGCCAAAGACAGAAAGAAGATCTCACGTACGCCGAAACATACATATAGCACTTGCTGTGGTTGCAAAGAACTGGAAACAAAGTAGATACAATCCAGGCCGGGGGTTCTTAAATTTTGGCGGGGCCCCCTTTGGCATTCTGGTGAAGCCTATGGACTCCTCAGAAAAATGGCGTTAAGTGGATAAAATAAAATATATAGAAATACAAAAAGGAAACCGATTATACAGAGTGCGCCAAAAATCTTAGGGTACTTTAATGAACAGTTTAAAACTACACGAAAACTCTGGGGACACCTGATATCGAAATAGTTATCAATTTTTTTTAAAAGCTCATGGACAGCAGGTTAAGAACCCCTGATTTAGTCCAACTTCCTCTATTTTGCTTAGGAGGAATCTGAGATCCATATTATAGATTGTTCCAAAACACTAGTAGTAAGAGGAATGTATTTCAAAACAACCCTGGGGTTTCATCACACCCAGAAAACTGGCAAAGATGATAAAAGATGTGAATAGTCAGTGGTGGGGGGGTGCTACTGAAAGATAAACTAATATATTGTCAACGGTGCTGGGATTTGGTGCAATCATTACAGAAAGCAATCTGTAATACAACTTAAAAATGACTAAAACGTCCTTAACCTTTGCTGCTGACATCTTGCTGCTAGCTCTATACCCTAAGAAGATCAAAGACAGAAACGTCTAGTACAGAGAAATATTCTGTGGTAGCAAAGAACTGGAAACAAAGTAGATGCTAATCCTTTGGAGAATGGTTGTGGTATGTGAATGTAGTGAAATATTGTGCAGTAAGAAATGAAAAAAATAAATTTAGAGACCCTTGAAATGACACAGAGGGAACTAAATAGAACCAGCAAAACAAGATACACAATTACAACAATGTAACTGGAAAGAATAACAACAATTTTTAAAATGTAAATAGTATTTTATTTTTTTCCAATAACATGTAAAGACCAATTTTCAGCATTCATTTTTTTAAATAAGATTTTGAGTTCCAAATTTTTCTTCCTCCCTCCTTCCCTCCTTTCCCCATCTCCCCAAACAACAAGCAATCTAACATAGGTCATGCATGTTTAACCATGTAAAACATGTTTCCACATTAGTCATGTTGTCGAAGAAACAGAACAAAAGGGAAAAAAAAACAAAGAAAGTGAAAATAGTATGCTTCAATCTGCATTCAGACTCCATCAGTTCTTTCTCTGGATCTGGATAGCATTTTCTATCATGAGTCTTTTGGAATTATCTTGGATCATTGTACTGCTGTGAAGAGCTAAGTCAATCATAGTTGATCATGAAACAAGGAACAACAAAAAGTTTAAAGGGTCCTTGTAAGAAAGTGCTTATTAAAATACAAATGGTTCTATAAGCTATTGTTATCATTGCACTCCTGGCTCCAGTCCTAGTGCTGGTGCATTCTTTTGTGAAAAAATTGATGGGTCAATGGGAATCATGAAATAACTAGAGAGTTGGCCTTGGAGTCAGGAAGACCTAGGTCTTAAATCCTATTCAGACCCATACTGGCTATGTGACTTATAAAGTTACTTACCTTCTCAATGCCCAAACTAAAAATTGCCAAACAGTGCAGAACTATCTGCATTAATGGAGGAGGTTTCTTCCCAGTTGCTTCATAGACCAATGAAATTACATGTCCTGTCAAAAGAATAAGCAACAAATTTGGTGGATTCAGTTGATACTTTAACATATTAAACATTTTTAAAGATTTTTAATTTTAGCTGTATTCAAGTATTAATTGTGGTCTATGAATTGAAACCTAGAGAAAGTCTGTTTGGACCCATTGTACCAGCACTCCCATCTGGACAGGCTGCAGTGTAGAACAGGGCCAAATAGGAGCAGAAGGCTTTTATGGCATTTCTCACATCATGCTACTCCTAATTCACCTGACCTCATATTTATACTTCAATTAGAAATGGAAGTTTGAATATCAGAAAAGTATTCTGTTTGCTATTCCTTTCCCAGACAGGCATTTCAGATTTCTCCTTGTCTTGGTTAAACCTGTTAACTTTATTACTGATGAAATATGCCTTCTGCTACTAGTTGCAGTATTGTCCCCGGGGCAATTATTTGAACTTTCTATGGCTTGTCAAAGTCCAATTTCCATTCAAGCTTTTCAGATCCAGGACCCATATCTATGCCATCAACACAATCAGGAGATTTCTCTACAGGGCACTTAAAATGTCAGGCTCATAATTTTTGTGTGAGACAGATGAGCTTTCTCTCTATTTCTGAATGGTCTCTAAGTAGTTTTTAATCCTGGACTCAATAAAGGACTGAAAACTCCCTATGAAAAGGAGGAAAATAAAAGAAAATGATTAGTGTTTCAGATAACAGTGATTTCTAGGAGAGGAGATTAGTCTCAAATGAACCATTTAGAGAGACAAAGAATTGAGATTTTGGCTTCCAAAACCAGAAGACATATTTTCTTCTTGTTTTTATTTATTTTTTTAGGTCTAGCAAACAAGCAAATATAATCTAGGTTGGAGTGGGTGGGAGTCAGCAGACAAAGGTCCTTGCTCAAAATCTACCATTATGGATTGTGTAACTTTGGACTTTAATTTTTAGCCTCAGTTTCTTCATTTTACAACATGAGTGCTGAAATTTCTTAAGCCTTTTCTTTGAAGTGGTTTTTGAAATGTAATTGTGCACTTTATCTAAAGATCAAGGTTAATATGGTTAGCCAATTGACTGCCTGATGGAAAATGAAGGCATTTATTGAAATGATGAGATCTGGAAAGTGGGAGGAACATAATAAATTGATGAGAACTATTCATACCTTTTCCCTAGAATTGTATGAAGTCAGACATTAAGGCAACTTCAAGAAATCTGAAAGAGAGCTTTCTAAAACATAATTTCCCAAATTGAAAATGCCAAGGAATATAATAGCTAAATTCCAAAATTACCAGATTAAAGAGAAATTACTGCAAGCAGCCAGAAAGAAACAATTTAAATATCATGGAACCACAGTCAGGATTACACAGGACCTTGCAGCCTCTACATTAAAAGACTGTAGGGCATGGAACATGATATTCTGTAAGGCAAAGGAGCTTGGAATGCAGCCAAGGATTAACTACCCAGCGAAAATAAGCATGATTTTTCAGGGAAGGAGATGGATATTCAATGAAATAGGGGACTTCCAAACATTCCTGATAAAAAGACCAGAGCTCAACAAAAAATTTGATGTTCAAGTACAAGATTCAAGAGAGACATAAAAAGGTAAATGGGACAGAAAGATATAATATGTTGTTAATAAGGGCAAAATGTTTACATCCCTACAAGGGAAGATGACACTTGCAACTCTTGAGAACTGTATTGTTATGATACCATGTTAAAGGAGTATACATAAAGGGGGTGGATATAAGTTGACTTTGATGTAATGATAAAAAAAAATTTAATCAAGTGGGTTAAATGGATCCAAGTAAGTGGATTAGCCTGAGCTAAGCAAATGTACTGAGAAAGGAGGAGGCAGACAAGGGTAAATTACATTATAGGAAAAGACACAAAAACCTATTAAAGCAGAGGTAAAGAAGGGAGGGAGATGAGCATTGTTTGAACCTTACTCTCATCAGATTTGGCTCAAGAAGGGAATAACATAATCAGTTAGGTATAGCAATCTACCTTGCCTACTGTAGGTAGTAGGAGGGGAAAGGGGAAAGAAAAGGAGGGGGGATAGGAGGGAGGGAAGAATCAGTAATGGTAAAGGGGAAGAAAAGGGAAAGGGATAATAGAAGGGAGGTGGGACTGAAGGAGGCGCTGGTCAAAAGCAAAACACTAGTGAGGGGGGGAAAGGAGAAAGGAGAAAGAAAAGCATAAATGGGAGAAAAAAGGATGGAGAAAAAGACACAGATAGTAATCATAACTGTAAATGTGAATGGGATGAACTCTCCCATAAAACAGAAGCATATAGCAGATTGGATTAAAAACCATAATCCTACAATATGTTGTTACAGGAAACACATTTGAAAAAGAGTGATACATACAGGGTAAAGGTAAAAGGCTGGAGTAAAATATATTATGCTTCAGCTGAAGTAAAAAAAGCAGGGGTAGTAATCCTGATCTCAGACAA